GTTTTTCTAGTGACATATTGTCGTACGTGTCCTCGAGTTTAGCATTTCTATGGAAGAAAATAAATTAAAATAATTATTTTATTTATTTATTATTACTTATAAATGTCTAGTTCCTTTTCACATTTAAAGGATTTCATATTAATTTTAGCCATTTGTAAATAATTGAGCAAGTATAGTCGAGCCATTGATTTTTGCACAAGTTTACAATAAGGGGCGTGAAATAGTACACCATCAAACGAGTCCAGTGATATATTATTACCATGCTTATTTGTTTTATTCATATATAACTGGTAGCACTTATCCAGTGCCCCTTTATAGCATCTAATGGACAGGTGTCCGTCAACTGTCGGATACTCTGAACTCATATCTGGTTTATAAAAGTCGTAGACATGTGTCATATGCGTTGACCTAACTTTCCGATCAAATACTATGGCAGCATCCGGACCCACCAGCATTGCCACTGCACCACAACCACCTTGGTTATTCATAAAAAATATAGCAAGGATTATTCACTAAATTGAAAGCAACCTGTTGGTCTGGCCGGTCCCCGAGCATAGATAGCAATATCTGCGGCCACAACGATGGCATACCTCCCGTCCCACGAACTCGACTCAACCCAATCCCAGGCCCGGAACAGGGCGTCAGTGCCTCCATAGCAGGCATTAGTGCTGTGAATGCCCTCAATGTCTGTATTCCCGGACTCAGCGAACAATTGCATTAAAACTGTTTTCACACTTTTCGACTTATCTATCAATGTCTCGGTGCCGACCATCAAAAGGCCCACATCTCTGCCAGATATTGAGTGCTTATCCATCAGTTGTTTGGTTACAGTCAGACATATCGAGTGGATGTCCTCCCTGTCCGTGCAAACAGCCATCTGGTGCTGACCCAACCCTATGGTGTACTTCCCTTCGGACACTCCATTATAGACTTCCAGTTCTTTCTGATCGACATATGTGTTTGGAAAGTATATATCTATCGCAAGAATTCCCACATTTTTGGGATAACCCTCATTAAAATCCATATTATACTAGCATTATAAATTTATAGATATAACTACTCTTTATATTGCTGTAGATACAAATTTCTTTTTAAACTTAATTATCGTAAAAATCTGCACTTGAAAATAATGAACTCATTGCAATTTTTGATTGAGATATTATCACACTTTCAATGCATGCTATAATACTAATTGTTTTGTGCTACTCACAGATGTTTACATAGTAAAATCTGTAATAATTATTAACGTTAACCTTTAGAAAATATATTTACAAAGCATAGGGTTAATTATATAAGGTAATATATTATGGCACATGCACTAAGGCAGTTGCATAACATACTTGTCATTCACCTTAAACATATGACTAAATAAAAATTAATTAGATTTTGACGATATAAATTTTTAGTTAAATTTATTTAATAATTTTTATGTTGTCATTTTTATATTTTTTATTAGAGGTTTAATAATAATTCATTACTATGTTATTTAACATTTTAAAATGTAAATCTAAAACATAATTATAAATTTACAA